CTCAGGAGGATCCACGGCGGACTCTGCTGGAGAAAGGTGGAACTTCTCCAGCTCCCAACAGTACCCCCCCCTCAACGACCGCCCCTTGGCGGTCCGGAAGAGGTCAAAGGGCAAGAACGCTCGTACTCCTCGATTAGGGCAGGGTCGAGGATGTACGAGCCCGGAACCCACTGGTGATCCTCCGGTCCGTAGCCCTCCCAGTCGACGAGGTACTGCCAGCCGCGACCTCGTCGACGGGAGTCCACGATGCGTCGGACGGTGAAGGCGGGATGACCGTCGACCTCCAGGGCGGGTGGTGGGGAGTCGGAAGGTGGGCACAGAGAACTCGAGATGACAGGTTTTACTTGGGAGACATGGAAGGTTGGATGGATCCGGAGAGACTGAGGCAGTTGGAGACGGACGGCAGATGGATTGATGACCCGGGAAATCTTGTAAGGACCTATGAACTTGGGCGAAAGTTTTCGAGACATTCCCTTGAGGGGAATGTCTCGAGTGGACAGCCATACCTCTTGGCCTTCTGAGTACTCGGGGGCAAGACGTCTCCTGGAGTCAGCGAAGCGTTTGTTGGTCTCTGATGAACGGTTGAGGGTTGCGATGGTATCTCTCCAAATCTTCTGACAGCGTCTGATGTGGTGATTGACTGACTGGACCGAAATCTCTCTCTCGTCTGCGGGAAAAAGTGGAGGTTGATAACCGAGACTGACCTGAAAGGGAGATTGTCCAGTGGGAGCAGATTTGAGGGAGTTGTGTGCATATTCGATCCATGTAAGATATTGGCTCCAGTCGACGGGATTGTTGGAGGTGAGGCAACAAAAGGGTTGATTCTAGCTGCTGGTTCATCCTCTCTGTTTGTCCGTTGGATTGAGGATGATAGCCTGATGTCAGAGAGGGTTTACAGCCAAGTGCAGAACAGAATGCCTTCCAAACCTAGGATATGAACTGGGGACCCCGATCCGAGAGGATCTCCTGGGGGATGCCATGTAAGCGGAAGACGTGTTTGACTAAGAGCTGGGCTGTCTGGAAGGCCGTGGGAAGTTTCCTAAGGGGGATGAGATGACAGGACTTCGAAAAATGGTCAACAATGGTGAAGATTGTGGACATACCTCGAGAAACAGGGAGGCCGGTGACGAAGTCAATCGCTATATAGGACCATGGACGTGAGGGAACCGGAAGTGGCTGTAGCAGGCCAGAAGGAGGTTGATGTGAGGATTTATTTCGGGCACATGTGGAGCAAGCCAACACATACTCCTTGACATCTCTATGGAGGGTCGGCCACCAGAAGCGTCTTGAGATCAAGGCGATGGTTCTACTGACCCCCGGATGGGCGGAAGACTTGGCTGCTTGCATCCATTGGATGAGACGGGACCTGACAGAAGATGGCACATAGGTTCGGTTAGCTGGACCGTTACCTGGATCGGGTTCTGTAGCCAGGGCGGAGTTGATTAGATCAGTGATCTCCCAGTTAACCACTCCTACAGTGCAGGAAGCAGGAAGGACTGGTTCAGGTGTCTCAGGATGATCGACGGAGTAAAGACGAGAAAGAGAATCGGGTTTGACATTCTTGGATCCGGGTCTGTAGGAAATAATGAGATTAAACCGTGAGAAGAAGATGGACCACCTGGATTGACGGGGATTGGCTTGCTTGGTTGACTGGATGTAAGCCAGGTTCTTGTGATCAGTCCATACAAGAACCGGGTGCTCAGCTCCCTCCAGCCAGTGTCTCCATTCCTCCAGCGCCAATTTGATGGCCAACAGCTCACGGTCTCCCACATCGTAGTTCTGCTCTGCGGATGAAAGTCTACGAGAGAAAAAGGCGAATGGATGGATCTTTTGATCCGTGTCAAGTCTCTGGGATAGGACCGCTCCAACACCAGAATCTTAAGCGTCCACTTCGAGGATAAACTGTTTAGATGGGTCAGGCTGCATTAACACTGGTGCTCCGGAAAATAAAGATTTCAATTTCTCAAATGCAGATTGTGCCTCGGGAGTCCATTGAAAAATGCGTTTGACAGAGGTCAGAGAGGTTAAGGGAAGGGCTGTCTGGCTATAGTTCCTGATGAACCGACGATAAAAGTTTGCAAAGCCCAGGAATCTCTGTAGCTGTTTGCGGTTCTCTGGAACTGGTCATTCTAACACGGCTTTTATCTTGTCCTCAGATGGTTTAACCTGGCCGCCCTCGAGCACAAACCCCAAAAAGGTGACTGAAGACTGATGAAATTCGCACTTCTCTGCTTTTACGAACAGCTTGTTCTCCAGTAGCCTCTGCAACACAAGGCGGACATGTCTTTTATGTTCAGAAAGGTTCTTTGAGTAAATGAGTATGTCGTCAATATAGACAAACACAAACACATTTAAAAAGTCTCTGAGGACATCGTTCACGAGGGCTTGAAAACAGGCTGGAGCGTTAGTTAAACCAAAAGGCATCACCAAATATTTGAATTGACCCAAGGGGGTTTTGAAGGCTGTTTTCCACTCATCTCCATCTCGGATCCTAAGAAGATGATATGCATTCCTTAAGTCCAGTTTTGTGAAAACAGTAGCCCCTTGTACAGGTGCGAATGCTGAGGCGAGTAGAGAAAGTGGGTACTTATTCTTTATTGTAATTTGATTCAAACCTCTGTAATCGATACATGGTCTCAGCGAACCGTCCTTTTTGCCAACAAAGAAGAACCCGGCGCCCAATGGAGAGGAAGATGGGCGGATTATTCAGGCAGCTAAGGATTCATTAATGTACTTCTCCATGGTTTCTCGTTCAGGTTTGGAAATGTTGTATAATCTGCTGCTAGGTAGTGGTGCTCCAGGTAATAGCTCAATGGCGCAGTCATATGGTCTGTGTGGAGGTAGGGACGTAGCACTGACCTTACTGAAGACAGGAGCCAGGTCATGGTACTCGGAAGGAACAGAAGAAAGGTCAGGAGAGTCCATCTCCCCCCCACCTCTAGGAGGCCCCACCAAGGGGGCAGCCGAACGGAGGCATGTTTCATGGCATGAAGTAGACCATGATTCCAGGTGACGATCAGTCCAATTAATGTGTGGATTATGTTTCTCCAACCATTCGAAACCAAGCACCAGGGGAGAGCATGCGGAAGGAAAAACAAAAAATGTTATTGTCTCTCGGTGGTTACCTGAAAGAAGTAGCTCGAGGGGTTGAGTTTGATGGGTAACTTGGTGGAGTCTTTTCCCGTCAATGGCAGAAACACAAAGAGGTTGAGTCAGAGGAATGGTTTCTATCTGTAGTTGTTGGACGAGGTTCGAATCAATTAAATTTCGTTCACAGCCTGAATCGATGAATGCAGAAAAAGAGAGGCTTTGGTTAGCACAAAACAACGTGGCTGGAAGTAACAGTCGAGGAGGTTTCTTAGTGTTAGTTTGGCCCGCCAGACTCCTCAGATCCTCTGGCGGGCCCAGGCTTTTGATTTAGCCGGGCAGGAAGCGATGAAGTGTCCACTCTCACCACAGTAAATGCATAATTTGCTCAAAAATCGTCTTTGTCTTTCCTCAGGGGTGAGCCTGGTGTGTCCCACCTGCATGGGTTCGACATCTCTTTCACCAGAATGAGAGGCCTGAATAGGCAGAGGGAGAGACTGGGCCTTAGGTCTCTGTATGGGCAGCTGCTCTGTGGGGGAAGAACAAATAGTCACGTTATGTGAGGCAGAGGAAAGTGTCCCCTGATTTCTTGATTTAGAACTGTTTCTAGCACGGATTCTATTATCCAATCTGATCGTCAAACGAATAAATTCTTCGAGGGTAGCTGGTTCGTCGAGAGTTGCGAGCTCATCCTTAATGTGCTCATTTAATGCCATAAAATAGGCTCCCTTCAGAGCGCTTTGGTTCCATCCGGAAGCTGCCGCTTTAACCCGGAAGTTGATGGAGAATTCTGCCACAGAAGAATTTCCCTGCTTTAGATTGAAAAGAGCTCGAGAGTCAATAGTTTGATCTGTTTCTTGATTGAATACTTGGGTAAATCCTGAGCCCACTCCAAGGCTCTTCCTGTTAGCTGAGAAAGGATGAAAGTTATCTTTTTATAATCCGTGGAAAAACTGCCTGGAGAGTTCTGAAAAATTAAACGACATTGAAACAAAAATCCTTTGCAATCTTTCATGTTACCAGAAAATCTCTCTGGAAGACTTGGGCGGAACTCGGATGACGTCACTGCTGGTGACCTCGGAGGAGGAACTGGACCCGGAAATGGTTGAGGTGCCGGTGCAGCATTAGCGCTGTTCAAGTAGTTAGCATAGCTCTGAAGCATATGATTATGAGTATCAACCAAGCGATATAACTCACGGAGCGTTTGGGTTTGTCCTTGAATTTGGGCATCCTGCTCCTCCAAGCGACGGGTGAGGTGATCTGCTGGGCCTTGAGTTTGTCCGCAGTGTTCTGTCATGATGGGTGCACGGAGAGTGACCCAAATATGCAGAACACCACTAGACGGACACAGGAGTAAAAGTGTAACAAGTTTATTTGTTCACAAGCACACTGATTTGACTGGTTCTGGCTCGGGCCTGGAAACTGGTTCACCGGAGTCTGCGTGAGAGACAGTTCAGTTAGCGTTGCACTTTGGAGCTTGCTTTCTTGATTGTTACTGATTGTACCTTGAGGGTTCTTGCAGATAGCTTTGAGAGGGTCACTGTTGGATCTGGAGGGGAGTTGATCAGCAGAGTCCGTTAGCTGCTTCAGCGTCTTACTTCTAGTTCTGAGCAGACCTTGGTTTTGGGTTTTCCAGCTCTTAGTCCTGAGCTGCATGGAAGTTAACTGAGGTTCTTCAGGTTTGGCAAGGGTTAGAATCCAGGCTGGATTGAAAGTCACAAAGATTCACTGAGAGGCTAGGCTTAGGCGCTGACCAACTGGATCAACACTGCGGCGTTGAGGCAAGGTCTGAAGACAGCTTATGTAGTGGATCCTCTGATGATCTGATGGGCTGCAGCTGTGCAGAAGGCTCACTCAGGAGGATCCACGGCGGACTCTGCTGGAAAAAGGTGGAACTTCTCCAGCTCCCAACACTTTTGGCCTTATTTCATCTTGATTGTGTTTGCTGCTATCATCAATCTCCTCTGTTGCCACCTATACATCAGAAAAATAAAAAAATGCCTGTGAAGGGTTTAAAATACTAATTTTGATCTTATAAAATATATTGATTACTGAAGTGAATTAACTTGACTTATTCATTCTAAATAATTTTTTTCATATGTAGAATTTAAGCCCGCATGTATGATTTTAGATGGGATGGAATTCAAACTCACAAAAAAACAAAAACAAATGTTGAACTAAGATTTTCACTTTAATATGGCAAAAAATGCCAAATTATGTTGAAATTCATAACCAAGATGACAGCCGGACATCTGACTAAAACAATAATAATATATTGGATTATATTCATTTTAAACATTTGGAATTGGAAAATTACTTTATTCTATTTTGTTTACTCCGTAGCTCTGTTACTGCATCCTATAACAGAGTGAAGTGCTATTTGTTATTGAATTTACCAGAGGAGCCAGCGAAAACATGTCAGCGTGCTTTTTTAGACCTTGTAAACAAGGCAGCAGGGTTAATCATACCTCTTGTGCCATTTTCAAGCTTTGTGGCACAGGTGAATCAGAAAAGCAGAAATTATCAGCTCACCTCATATGCACCTTCTCTTTAGAAGGATTAGAGAGGACGTAGGTGTTGCTGTTATGCTCAGTACAGCACATTCTGCTCCACGCTCCAACTCCCACAGACCAAGTGACTGTTCCAGCAGCTTAACTCGACCCAGAAAAAAGGGGCAGTCTCTCTTTAAACACGGGAGCTTCTGAAGCCTTTGTCCACATGTAATATTAGATATCATGCCTGCTACAGGTGTTCAAACCCTTTGAACGTTTTGGCATTTTACCATGTCACAGCCACAAACCTCACGAAAAAAGCTATGTCAAAAAGCCATAAAGCTAAGTAGAAGCCAAATTTGAATCTTTTTGCTCTCACGAATTTTGTGATTGGAGTACTACTAACACTGAACTTTATCCTGATGACCCCATCTGCATTTAAACCATAATTTATCCAATATCACGCTGTGAGGACGCTTTTGGTCAGAAGAGAACATTGAGCTAAATATTTAACTCCAACCTCCAGTAAAGCCATCCAGTAACCAGTATACAGAATTAAAAGCCAGTTTTCCTTCCTTTAAATCCAGTTTAATGGAACAAAACTGTTGTAAATATAGTCTTAACCATTATTAAACATTATTAAATAATTATTAAATGTCATTTATTACATCCCCTGACATAATAAATGAGGCCGAATTGTCTGGAATGGAAAACTTGTTTGGTTGTACTGACTGGCCTAATTTTGGTCAATTTACATGAGAGTTCTTTAATGATTTACACTCATGGATGTCTTCTCTACTGCAGAATCATGGGCTTCAAATAGTTGGCAATTAAAGCTAACCTTCTCATAGTGATAAGTGGCTGGTTAAACACTGGTTAATGTTAAGTGCATTTGATTAGAAACACCTGGAAAGTCCTTTTGTTGGGGGTATTGCTGATGTCTTCCTGTATTAGCATTGCAAAATATAGATTTTCCTCTTAAAGAATCAAAGTTTGAATGTTTTGTCCTTCTTAGTTTGGTTATACTCAGATATGTGAATATGACTTTCCAAGCTCCTACTACTGAAGTACTAACGCTAGCCCTTAATAGAACAGCTAGAATCCATGGATGTTTAGGGAGGGACCATTTTGGTTCTTTGATATGATTGTTCCATTGCTGTAAGGGATGGCTGTTATTTTTAGTTAGTTTAGTTTAATAAATCTTTGCTAAAATGCTCTCGTCATGATGTTGGGGCTGATTTCTGGCTGGATTACTAATTTCATTCACCTGCCTAACTCTGCCTTTTTCTCGTTACTTTTCATCGGATCCACCTGCTCCTGCTTCTATTTAACCAGCCATCTAACCAGTCATCAGTGCCAGATTATTCTTGAGCCAGTGGTGAGAGTGTTTAAGCGTTACCTTAGTGTTTCTGCTTACCTGATCCTGACCAGTTCTGCCTCTCAACCACTGGGCCTGCCTGTTCCCGTTCTGATTTGTTTGCCTGACCTCTCTTTGGACTCCCATTGGATTCTGTCTGTTTTACTGAACTTGGAACTGCCTTCTGTCACCGACCTGGATTTCCCTTCAGCACCTCTTTAGACCTCTGATCTTCTGGTTCTGAATCTTGAGCACATTCTCAACATCGGCTTTGGCTTCGCCCTCTGGATTATCCTGCGCTCTGTTTTTTCGGATCTGATCTCCTCCGTCCTCCGAGGCTACAGCTTCAGACACTCTTCGGGGCGGCACTCGCCGCGTCTTGCTGACTGGTGAAAATCTACCTTGTTCAATGGGCACAGACTAAACTATAGAACCCGGTTAGTGACTCACAAGTTAATAAACATCCTCCATCAGAGTAACGTGGCCACTAATCAGTTTTTCTCCTGCAGAGGTTCCTTCCTTAGACAACCTTGCTGTTACTTCGGATCTACCATTTGCTTTTGAATTTTCCGACTTTCTGTCTGCCTTTAATTCTGGGTCCCCTGTTCTGAGCCTTGACAGCACTATGATCAGGTTCTTTTTTTGTTTACTATTTTCAAATAATACCTCCATATATTTTGCTAAAGAAATTATTGTTATCATTTACATGTTAATATATTGTCCCTTCTGCACCTGTTAAGAATCTATTGTGTTTCTGTAGCAGTTTTTTCTCAACAATACTAAATAAAATTTACGATAAATATCAACAAAGCAAAACAAAAGCAGGGGGGCAAATTTTTAGGACGTCATGTCTGCCCCATGCTAAGAGCCGAGGAACATGTTGGCATGTGATGTGACATGTGATCTGCAATGCATGCAGGTTGGTGTCTGTGTGGAGGTGACACATTGCCAAGGAGGGCTTTCAACCTGCTGACAGATCCCAGCGTTCATGACAACCATCTGTCCAGTTTAAGTGTGCATGTGTGTGCTCTCAGACACATTTATGTTTACTGGGGTCCAGCTGGCAGTGTACTGTAATATTGCACCCTCAGTGTGCAACAACATGAGATCTGGGACCTCACCAGAGCTCGTTAGTCGTAAAAGCACAGCCATTGAGGACCTGCTGTCACCATGAACAGAAAACTGTGACCATAGAAGATGTTTCACACTGGTTTTTAGGGGTTATTGATTTTACTGTTTGAACAATGTTGTAACTTAAGACCGGTTTCATAAATTCCCTTTTAGAAGCGTTTATATCTCTTGAATTTCTCTGCCTTTTTTCACCTTAAAACCACAAATTGTATTTTATTTGGATAGGATTCAACAGACTGTTAAAAGGTTGCGCATTGAATGAACCAATTCTTTTTATTGACACTTTTTATATTGAATTTATATTCTAAATATGTGTAGATGTTATTTCCTTTTTTACCACATTGGGTTGCGACTGTCACTATGTGTAAAGCTGCTGCTACACTGCAATTTCCCAGCTTGGGATAAATAAAGTCAGTCTGTCTGTCTGTGTCCGTCCATTCGTCTATCTATCTATCTATCTATCTATCTATCTATCTATCTATCTATCTATCTATCTATCTATCTATCTATCTATCTATCTATCTATCTATCTATCTATCTATCTGTCTGTCTGTCTGTCTGTCTGTCTGTCTGTCTGTCTGTCTCTCTGTCTGTCTGTCTGTCTGTCTGTCTGTCTGTCTGTCTGTCTGTCTGTCTGTCTGTCTGTCTGTCTATCTGTGAAATGAAAGTTAAAAGACAGGAGTGCAAACATTTTAAGACACGATTTTCTACTCCTGCTGAATGACCAATCACGATAGAAGATGCCAAGATCAGAAAAGCCAAGAAGATGCATTTAGTTGATCTGGATGAGCAGCCAGGATTCCCAGAGAGAGACTGGAACAGCTGAACACTGATCAAACAAATCTAGGTTTTGTTGTAGAGTGGCAAAAGTTGCATGTTTGCAGTAAAGTCACCATTTGAACCTATGCTGTCTTAGAAAACAGGTGTAAATATGTAGCCAGGAATATTAACAAAATCACATATTCGATTGTAAGAACAGTGGCCAATATTAAAAAGAAAATGAGAAATTACCCCAATAGACTTACTTTATAAGTAAAGCAGGTAATTGAGTGTGATGGACTCAGCAGTAAGGACACTAGGATTCCAAAAATAATTAAGTTCTTTGATTAAACCCAAAAAATGAAATATATACAAGATTATTCAAAGAATAGGTTCATAAAAAAGATCATAGTAATAAAACTACTCAAAATAATGAGGAACAGAACAAGAACAGCTCAAGCTGACCTCTCATAATGAGAGAAAGGGGAAACCTAAATGGTTGCAAATAGTTGTTGATAATCCAGCAAAAGAAACACAAGTGGCAAGAAACCTAACAGTATCAAATAAAAAGATATTAATAAATTATTTCCAACCAATAGTAATCATATAGTATGGTCTTAATCAGCTTAGCGCCTCGCCACCTGCTGGATCCTCAGCCAATGAGCTAGAGCAACCGCAAAACTCAAACAGAATCAAAATATAACCAAATCATGACAAAAACAGTGTGAACCAAAATGTGCACAGTCATTTTACAAGACATCGTAACTGTCAAAAAAAAGATTTTAAAATAATGAAGTGCCCCTATAAATGAAATAATGGAAAGAAGCTAAATGATTTATATGTAGGGTTTGTTACCACATCTGTGTGGCTGTAGATGCAGACGTGACATTGAGGAAGAAATGAGTCAGTGACCTACACAAAGGAAAACTGAGCTAATAATATCTCTTGGTTTAGAATTTTACCCTTCTTTTTATAGGTATAGCAAAACTACAGGCCACAAGTTTTTCATTTTTTAAGTTCAGTTGTTAACTGCACTAAGACTTTATTTACAAGCAGTGGAAGTCTTTAAAATAAATGCCAAGTATATTCTTTATGCATGTCAAAGTATAATCAGTAGGCTCAAAGTAGCCTTAAAGATGATGATGTTCAATTGGTGACAATGTTATAAAATTATGTGTCATCTCCTTTTCTCTCCCACAGTTTATAACAAGTCAGAAAATATATATTGCTTTTAACAAATAACTTTGTTGTGTGAGGATGGCAACAGTGTTTAGTCATCAGTCTGTTCTATATGTCCACAAGAGTAGCATAGCACACAGGAAGTTACATAATGTACTTTTGCAAACACCCTATAAGAAAACAAAATGGAAGATAAAGTTCTTTTAGCAGAGAATCAGTCCTAAAGATGCAGCCAGAGGAACAATATATTGGGCAAAACATATTCATGCCCAGTAAAAGGTCATTTCAAATTTCACCAGAGAATCATTAACATCCAATCATAATTGGATGTTAATGTTCATAAACTCTCTCTATCCAGACTGACAACTCTTTTTGCTATGCTGTTTTTCAAGAAAAAAGCATAATATTTCAGTCTCTGTATGCACCAAAAGACTTGCATTGGTAACTACAGCAAAAGGGGTTTTCACTAAGTACTTATTCAGGAAAGTTGGAACAAATGCAAAGCACATTTCAGATTTTTTTTTTTTATTATCTAAAAAAGAAACTTATTCCTTCTACTTCACCATTATTTCCTGCTTTGTGTTGGTTTTTTCATCTACCTAATAAAACATAGGATATGTACTGCAAATCCAGACGTAGTTTTCCAAGTGTCTGCTAAATTCGATAGTGAAGAAGAACATATTGATTTCAAATCTTACTTGTGAGCTGTGCCATTTGAGTTTTTTTTTTTTAA